TCTCTCTCTCACATGCATTCACAAATGCTGTTTTTACCTATATGCATGCATACATACACACAAACATGTTATGTATGTAATACAAGTGTAACATCTTGTGTGCCCAAACCAAATATGTGGCTCATTGAATTCTAATAGCTTCTGCTTGCACAGTTTTCCCATAAAATCCAACAATATGGTTCAGAATAAGAGAAAAAAAGGAGAGACAAAAGAGAGAGGAACCAGCACTGCTCAATGTATATGGAGCCTGGACTACTTCATTTCTGTGTGTTGAAACTAATTTGTTGCATTATGTTTCTATCTCTTGCATGTCCACATTGCCACAAGGTCTTATTTTTACAAAACAGACCCATCATTCTTTCCCACAGGATGAAAACACGGTTAAATACTTGCTGTAAAAAAACCATTATGTGATGTGCTAGCCAAATGATACACTAATACTCGGACGTAAGTGCTTTTTTGGCAACTACTCAAAGGAGCAAAAATTACATCGTTTTCAGCCCCAGTGATGATAAGATTACACAAAAGAAAGCAAAATATACAAAACGGGTTGATGATAAATATTGTACAATAAATGGAGAATAAGCCTGTTTTCTTGCTGTCACACTCTTTGCTGTTTTCTGCAGTTTTTCCATCACTTGAGGCAGCCACACCAATTATTTCTATCATATTGGGTGTCCCCTGGAAAAAAAAAACCTGATGAAAATAAGGATTTGAAAGACTCCTTTTCAGGAACTTCCTCCACCAACTATTTCCTCCTTTTCAAATGGGGCTTTCAGAAAGGAAGTGGTGGCCAGCAGTAACATTCCCCATGGGAGGGACCCATCTTCCCTTCACATGTGGAGAAGGGAGAATATCCTCTTATGAGGAGAGCAGGAAAAGAAATCATCCTTTCATCGGCAGTGTATTCCGACCGGATAGGTGTCTGGTGCTGTGTCCATGATGGTACCTTCTGAGGAGTCATTTCCAATTGGCTTCAAGCCCCACATTGCAGAAAGATGCTCAAGAGCCCATTGGCTTATTCTCTACCCTACTTATTGCAGTTGGAAACAAATCAAGACATTAACAACAAATAAAAGCAACCCTTAATCTTCACTCAGATCCTCTACCACAGCGGAAAGATTTTCTTACATCCTCAGTGAGGTGCTCAAATATTCTTCCTTGTTGCTGGCAGACACAGGGGTGGTGGAAATGATTCTTGCAGCCTTTCACCCTTTTTCCCCCCGGTTTCCTGCATATTTCATTGCCCCTTGTAAGTGCTTACTAAGCATGCAGAAGGAACCATCCCAAACTGGGATGCCAAGGCTGCATAGGAGCTGCTTGCTTCAAGTCTCTTGCATTGTATTTGGGTACATAAATGCCAGCTGAGCTCTCTAGACAAGTTTTTATACAGAGGGACTGTTATCTACTTTTTATACATAAAGGAGCACAGTTGGGATGAGGCATGGGGAGCCCAGTGAAAAGCACCTATTGGTGGCCCTGCAGCAATATCCCTTTTGCCCACATGTCTGCAAGGGCAGACTCATGGTGGGGGGCACTAACCCAGAGGTGTGAGACCCTCCTGCATGTCTGCAAACCCCATTTAATGGAAGTCAGATGCCTCTTTATTGCTTTCAAAGGGAGACGAGATCGGCTGTTAGTGCTCCCTGGATCAAATGGGTGAATTAGAAAAGATCGCCATTCAGGCTAATGGGATTTACACTCTCAAATCAAGTTACATGGATGCATTATAGGGAGTTCACATTGAGGGGAGCCAATTACCCCATTAGCACTAATAGGAATTGCACTAAGGCACCATGTGAGAAGACACATGCAAAAAGATTGCAGCTTTCCCTCGCTTATTCAGGATTGCTTTGCTGAAACAAGGCAATAACTGATGGATCTCCCTCCTCTCAACGTAGGCCAGGGTTGAGATGCTCAGTCTTGGCTTCCACTTCACTCATAAAGCTGGGAAGGACCCTTTTCCCAAAGAGTTGTTATGAAGAGGGCTGAGCTCTTCCATACTCATTGGTGCCCCTTTATAGCAAACAAAGACATAAGCCTAGGTAGGTCATCTTCTGATGCTAAGAAAGCCACAGCCAGGGATGCACCATTTATCTGTGGTTACTTCTGACTCTCTGAAGTTACTCTGTCTCTGGCTGTGCTGTTTATCACCATCTCTTCACTGGCAAGTGCCCAGCGGACACATTTATTCCCTGTGCAATGCTCAGAGGCATCTTAAACAGATACCTGCAACCCTAATGACAGTTCTTTAATGAAGGAAAGGCAGCAAAATTAAATGCGAGTGGCATATTACCACACTTGTTTTAAATTGATATTTAATTAAAAAGTTAATTATTAATTAAGTTTATCAATTGCACATCAGTTGTTCAATAGAAAAAGGCTCATTCATTTAATTATCTGCGTGCAACCGATAGTATATGCTTTTTAGCCAGGCAAGGTTATCTCCGCATCTGTTCTAATTTAGATCAGTTTAGCTTCTAATCTATCGAGAGTGCTTCCTTTTGCGAGCGTTTGATTTGATCTATAAATGTTTACTCCTAGAACTGTTAGGTATTAGAAGCTGATCAAATAAAGGGAAGAGCTGCCCAGAGTTGCACTGCACTCACCAAAGGGCTCCGGTGGTGCTTGCTGGCCCAGAGCTGTGTGGGGTTTCCTTTAACAGTGCATGGCTGTAAAAGTTGCAAAAAAGAGATAAACACCCACCCCAAAAGTATGTTAATAGCCCAAACAATGGGGAATCTTCAAAGGGCAAGAGAGGCCTGAGAGCAGAATACAGGGACAGACACCACCACCGATGGGGGAACCTCCTCTTTGCTGTGGGGATGACCACAGGGCACAGGCTGTGATGAGGGCTGGGGCACAGGGATGCCATCTCTATGGAGCACAAATGTTCCTAAGGGCCACCTTAATCAAAGAATCAGCCTAGGGCTCCTGCCCTCCTTTCTCCCTAAAATGATTCCTAGGTGCAAATCAACAGCTATTTATAGAGGAGTTTTGGATGCCACATAGTAAACTGTGCAATAAACTCCTCCAGTACTTGGATAGTGTAACAGAGAGCAATATCCTGTGGAGGCTGTAACTCCAATAGTGTGTTCTATTAAGTTATCTTGTGTTTATTTTAACTGCAAATCATGGTCCTGTTCAGTGTCTATTAAAAGTAGCATTCAGTGCATATATTTAAAATGTTAAAGAGTACCGGTACATTAGTACATTACTGGGGACCAGACCTGCCTGGTGCTGAGGATGCTGAACACCAGTGAAGTTAATAAGAAACTGAGGGTACCCAGAGCTTGGAGCATTGTAGGAGGCTATAGATAGGCACTGAGTAACTAATCAGAAACACCCACCAGCTCGATCTTTGGGGCTTCAGGCACAAAATGGGCTGCAGCACTTGCATGTTCCTAAATAATTCTCATATTCATGGCACGATAGACAGCTTTTCACAGGCAGCCACCACGACACAATCCCTGCCGCAGGAGCCCGATACACATCATGACCACAAGACAGAAAATACAGCAGACCACAGAGGGTCAGGAGAGGAAAAGGTGAGAGAAAAAGATGCTACAAAGCAGAGGGCTGATGGACTGCCTTGAGGGGGCAATGCTGAAACAGATGTGCCTTTTCAGAGCTTAGTTAATCAAGAAAAGGAAATGTATCACAAGTAAATAGCTACAGCACAGAGGTTCATATAATTCAGGTGAATACCCAGAGTCTGCAGCTTGTATTTGATCTGAAGACAACAAGCCCAGGGCTGTCTCCCAGCTCCTGAATGAAAAGCACTAAGGGGAGAGGGCTTTTAAAAGGAAGGTAATTTACAATGCAATATTGCCAGGGGGGTGGTGATGTTGTGTTTGTACAACTGGAAGGACGATAAAAGAAATCCCCATGAATAGTAACTGTATGTTTATAGATGGGTGCCTCCTTGCCAACTCTACACACAATGTGCATTCATCTTCACCAGATATTCAAGTGGCAGGACTTTTTCAAGCAATGATGTTTATAGAAAGTGACTATTTTGAAGCTTTACACACTAGAATTTGAGGAAACTTAAAATTTACATTTACAAACATCATCAGTCACCCTATCTGATAAATCAGAACAGAGGAATCTGGCTTAACTACTACAGATGGGCAGCAAACAGCAGTCAGTTTCTCTAGAGATTTGCTAACATTGGTTAAAATGAGAAATTTATCATGCATCTGCTCACAGATACTCTGAAAGAAGCCAAACATACCAAAGCACTGATTTGTGAGGAATTATTTACATCAGTTCTCTTTCTTTACTAGAGCACAAAACTGGAAAGTTTCCTTTCTGCTGTATCACCCCGTTCAATGTAACATGGGGCCACGGGATGCTCCTTTCCTTCAGTGACAGCACTGAAGCGAAAGATAAAGAATAGCTTCCACACAGACACAAGTTACCAATGAAAGTGCCATATAAGCAAGAGCTCTGAGGGATGGGGAACAAAGCAAGCTGGTTTGTTTGTTTTTTGAGGTGCCACTCCACAATGAGCTGTTGGATAAAGTGAGAGTTTAGACTGGGGCTGGGGGACATCAGAAAGCTCTTTGCCTCCCCTTAACCCATCCTCTGCTTAGGATCCTCTGCTCTATGATAAGGAATGAATTAACATTGCAGCCTTTTCCTAACAGGGGTGTCAATTTAGTCTGTCATTCCCATTCAAACAACTATTCTCACGGAACCTGGAAGAATTTCATCTCTCTGAGCTCTTTCAGGCTTTGTGGCCAGGTGAGGCTGGGGAGGGATTCAGAGATGCTGGCCTGATGTAGGACCTCACAACATTTGTTTTTGAATTCTTGGGTTGTAAAAATCCCACCTTGGATAATTTGAACCATTTCTGCATGTACCAAGCAGTAAGGCTTTTAGGATGAGAGTGTTTGTAAGCTACAAGAAAGCACCAACCCCTTCCTTTCATCCCCAGCGGATGTAGAAATTAAGTTATAAGAACTGGATTCCTCTAAACTTATGGCCCAAGAGGGTCAACACTTGCTTCTCTGAGTGTTAACTCTGGGTTTCTGCCCCAAAGGGTGAGTGTCTCCAGCTGTCAGCAAACAGTAAGCAAGCCATCAATCAAGAAAGGACCAGGCCTTCCATGCAACACTTAGATTAAACCTTTGGTTTCAAAGCTGAATCCTCTGTGCCATTCGCTGGTCCTGGGCTCCCCTGGCAAACAAATGCAGAAATGCCGCTGGGGAAAGCATGTTTGTGTGAGATTTCCACCCCAATTTTGCAGACTCAGATGTTAGGCAGTTGAGATAAGGGGATGATTAGAGGTCTAAGCCTAAGGTTTGAAATACCCAGACTTCCTGGAACCACCGGTGCAAATCCCAGCAGGGCTGACTCAGCCTTCGACCTCCTGATGAAGATTAAGTGAGCTCTGTGCAGAGGTGTGACTTGGGAATCTCCACCAGCCAAGACCCCACTGGAGCAGAGATAACGATGGTGGTGCCTACCGCATGGAAAGGGATTCCCTATATGGTGGAGGCATCGTGCCCCAAGTCTGTCCACACCACAGCTCCTGCTGGTGCTCTCACTCCTGGGCTCCACCAGAAGTGATTTATGGACCCTAACATTTTCTAGAGCCTTGCTCCTGCATGTCTTAGTGTGCACGTCCAGAGTATTGAAGAGCTTCTGGCAAAACTATAGCCCCTCTTCTCTCCCTGCTGTGCTGCATATTGACACCTTCAGAAGAGCACTGTGTTGGTACATTTGGGACTCAGAGAAAAGTATTTTGCATACTTGCAGAAGCATATTACATGGCCTTTCTATCAATCAGTGCTGCAACCCAATCGCTTTTAGTTTAGAAAACAAACACAACTCCCAAATCCCTGCTATGCTCCTCCACACAACCACTTGCTTTGCCAAGCACAAGTACCCAAAAGGTATCAGAAAAAAAAACCAACCGATTTCAATAAACAAGCTGAACTAATTGGTTTAGCCTTTCTTTTCCTTTCTGCTGCTGGACAATTAGCCAACATGACACAAAATTCTAGACAGATTTCCTCTTCTGTGTTACTGATAATATTCTCCTTTAATAATTCACAGAGTACTTGCAATTTATTCTTTTGTGCTGTGTTCTGAAAATGAAGTCATCTGATCTGGGGCTCCTCAGAAAAAAGGTAAAGAAACCCACACAAGTGCTGGAACCATCAAACGCAGCATCAATGACTGATTTCACAACTATGTGTATGATTTGGAATGCATTTTAGGAAAGTATTGAAACAGCAGAGCTAATTAAATGTTTGCTTTCCAGTAGCATTCACCTCATTACAGCTCAGACGTTCACAGGGCAGCAGATCTGCACAGGACACACATACTTGAATATTCTCAAGTGAAACTCCACAAAATGACATTGGTACAGAAGCAGTCCCACATTTTGTCATTCCTCATCCTGTACTGAGGCCAACAAATTGACCAAACAAGGCAGCAGATACTCAGTTCTATTATTCAGTCCAACCTAAAAACAGCAGTAAGAAAACTGTAACTCATCCTCTCTTTAGCTTCCATTTGCACAGTGACCAACTGGATGTGACCCATCAGCACCTCCACCCCAAAAATGCTCTCCAGCAGAGGCAGGAGATGCTGTTCTCATTCGTGCCTCTTGGAGCTGAAAGCAGCATCCCCAAGCTGCCACCCACCAAATGCATATGAGTAAATTAAAAACAAACAAGGTAACTTCAAGAGAGGTGAAAATAAGGATCCTGTTTTCCTGGATGTTGTGTTCCCATGGTTAAATTGTCCTGTCTCTTAACAGGTACAACTCTTCTGTACACGCTGTGATGGCAACTTCACCAATGGCTATAGCCACAATGGCTGCTAGAAAACATTTCTCCCTTCTTTTCCTCTTGGATTTTTGGAAGACAGCAGTGCTACTTCTGAACACGTAGGAGCTTTTCTTTCAATTGAAATAATGGTTTGGTTGCCTCTCCTCCACCCAGCTTTTATTCTAAGGAAACAAAACAGGAATACAGTACCTTTGAGACCTCTACTCTCCTGCCACCTTTCACTGAACCTTGTGGAGACCTATTCCTTTTAAGCCGTGGCTAAAAGTGCTCCAGAAGTCACGCACACACACAAGAAAAACTTAGTGAGATCCTTGCCTTTCCAAACAAAAGTGCCCACCTTCTGCTGTGTAAACCCTGCAGCCAGCATTCTCACTCTGCTTTGGTCTGACTTAGAATGTAACTCCCTCGGGGCAGCGTCTTTGCCTTTCTATTTGTTTGTAAAGTGCCTTGGTGCCCAGCAGGGCTGAGTATGAAATAATCTGTAGAGCTGCCAGGCAAAGAGACTCCACGAAGACGCGCCTGAGTTTTGTAATGAAATTGTCCTGGTGCACAAACATTTCCTCGACAGGGTTTCACCAGCACGAATACTGCCTTTTTGTCGTTTCATGTTTGAATACACACGGAGCCTGGATCTGAGCTTGGGGAAGCGCTCACATCAGAAGTGGCTTTGTAAGTGAAACTCCCGCTCAGAGAACAGAAAGAGTGATTTTTCTTGACCCATTCCAAGTCGGCAATAAAATTCAAATGTGGCAAACCAGACCATCCAGGCTTTTATTTTTCCTTTCTTTCTTTCTTTTCTCCATCCCTCGCCCCTCCCTTTTGCTTTTCAAAGCAACAAACATTTTGTTGAATTGTTCTAAATAATGACAACATTTGAAACCACTTCAGTCCATTGAAGATCTCAGGGGAGAAATTTGGTGAATAAATGACTTGGGATAAATCAAATCATTCTGTTCTAATAATTGTGTCTCTCACTCTCCTTATCTCACTTGCTGTTATAACTTCTGTGTTGTGCTCCCGCACCTCCCTGGCATCACCCCTTGCTCTAAAGCCACCTTCTCTGCTCTTGTCTCTAGCTCTGCGATGGGTCCCATCCCACCTTCTCTTGTCAAGCTTGTCAGGCTTCTCCTTTCTTGGCTTCTCAGGCAGTTCTTTTCTCCATGCAGTTCCCAAGCTCCATCCACCAGCCCCACACACCCTGCTGCCAGGCGTCTCCTCTCACCACCCTGTCCATCAAGTCCACTGCATGTTGCACAGCCATCTCCAGCGAGGAGCTCTGCCTTCTCTTCTCCCTTGAAAACAACTTCTGGCACAGGTACAATCCCACCATCTCAACCAGACTCCAATACCTCTCTACACCTCCATGCAAAACTAAGCTAGCATTCTCCACTTCTCCCCCCTTTCCCCCTGAGCCTCCATCCCCTTCCCATGCTGTCATTCTCCACCATTTGAAGCCTGAGGAGTCAGGAGAGGTCAACTGTTGGCTTGACCTCCTAAGCCCATCTGCCTTCACGCAAACGAAGACACATGCACTAAACATGCATTATCTTTCCAGGACATTTGTTTCGGGAGCGAGTTGAGTTAAGCAAAGGTACGTCAATTGATAATAAACCTGCTCCACACTGTCATTTGTGGGTGACTTGAAGAAAAACAGACCATGTAATCAGGTCTAAGGGGTCCCTAATACCAGAGACACTGGTGCTGTCAGCTATAGAAAATAATTAGAACGTTATCCCTGTGGCAAGGAGAATGTAAATACATCTAAAATACGACATAATGACATTCTCCTCTGTAAGCCAGGGGATCTGCTTCAAATAAAAGGGCCATTAACACAACAATTAAAGCCGAGGGGGCCGGTGAAGCAGGGAGCCGGCCTGGTGCAGGGCGAGGCGAGCAAGCGCCCGGCGTAAATCTTTCGCCATCCCAGCCAGGAATGTGACTATTAGCCCTCTCATGACCCGAGGGCTTCCCAATGATGCATCTGCTCTCTGTCAGGGCCAGGATTTCATAACGTCCTCCAGTGCGAGCCCAGGCCTGACTCCACGGTGCGGCGCCAACGAGGGAGCCGGCGGGAGCTGGGTGGCTCCGTGCTGGACCTTGGCCCTGGTTCAGCAAAGCACTTAACCGCTCGCTCCAGGGATGCGCCGTCTCCTCCCAGGCCTGTTGGGGTGCTCGGAGGTGAGCGATGACTGGGCTTTGGCTGAATCGGGGCTCTTCAGGCTTTCCTGGTGCAGAGCTGGACCCGTTGGCATCTTTGGCACTTCCCTCTCCATCTCCCTTGGAGGGATGCACCCCCTGGAGCAGGCTGTCCTGAGATGCTCCAGGAACATCCTCATTGTGAAACTCCAGCTCAGGGAACCTGTGGGAAGCAAGGCACAGAGAGCACCGCAGAGATTTATACAGGATTCAAAGTAAATAATACCACTGATTTCACTGTCCAGGCAGCAAACTCTCCAAACGTGGTCCAGGCAACTTGGGGATAGCATTTTCTATAAGCTCTATAGCAAACATACAGGAATGATGGAGAAGTGCTTGGAGAGAACAGCAGTTCCCACCTTTCATCCAGTCTGAAGTAGGTGATAATAAAAGTCCCAAACACATCAGGAACTTTGATTCCAGGCAAAGCGCATCCAGCACATCCCTGCAGGTTCTTGGCAAAGGAAAAATATCACCGAGCTGGCAAAGTCTGCTTCCACAATAACATCAGGCTCAGATATAAGTTTTCTTAAAGCTGCCAGAAAACAGGAAATGATACTGACCTGCCTGGTTGAGTCGTGCAGGAAGAGAGCAGTACCAGATCTAGCTCTTTGGAGAGATCTGTCAAAAGGCAGGTTTCTTACATCAAGCCTCTTTTTCAGTTCTGCTGACTCTCTCAACCTGCATGAATAAGGAAGGCCTGAAAATAACAACCACAGAAGTCACATTCCTCTTACAAAATCCTATCATACACTGAGAAAACTATGAGAAGGCACACAGAGAAAATTTCTCCCTACAGAGCATGAATGCCTTTCACAAAAGGAGCAGTTGTTTAACAACTGAGGAGCTGAATAACTGAATAAGTACAAAAAAACCCCAGGACTTGACATCCAGAAACACTTGCAGCTCATGAAACAAGGCTGGGATCTGGGTGCCAAGAGGTTCAGAGAATCAGACCCAGTTTCAGGGGAAAGGGAAAATGTCTCATGCACAGTCTGGGCTGTGTCAGCACTTGGTTCATCCCCTGCTAATGGACGCAGGATCAACACCCTCCAGAGAATGGACACCTGGGCTAGGAGAGAGTGATGCAAGGTACAGCACACGTTGCAGTAAGCAAAAAATCTCTATAAGCAAAAAATCAGCTGCATATCCTACATAGAATAATCTTTGAAGATTCTCATTACAAGTAAACACAAGGATAATAGCTAATGGATAAGCTAATTAGTCATGCAAATCTGATGGATTTTCACTGCCTCCTTCTAGCCACTCACTTCTTTAGAAGGCATTTCATCTTCTGAGCAGCACACAGTTCAGCATCCAATTCATATTAGTTGGGCGAAAAGACAGTCCTTTAATCTTCTGACATTTTGGTCCTCAGTGTGAAAGAGGGAGGCTTTCCAACAGAGAAACAAAGAGAGTGATAACACAGAAGAAAATATTAGCAAAAATCTCCCATGGAACTAAATAAGGTGGTGCTCTCTGGCAGATCTCCTGCCTGGGCATTGTGCACAACAGGAACTTCTCACCTGGGAACACAAGGACAGCAACCAACGCGTTTGTCTCTTTAATTATGTGACCTGCCTTATATATAACTAAGCTAGTAAAAATGATCTGGAGTAAACAACAGCCAGCCTTTCTAACTAAGGTCACACTGGCCAAAAGGGCTGTGAATGTTCCAGCAAGCTAGGAACAAGTTTCTAGACAGCTGGAGACATTTTGAGCAAACATGGGCCAAATTAAACCGACATGGGAAGCCAAAGTGAAACCAGTAAAAGCTCGTCTACTCAGATGACTTTTGTTTGAGCTGGAAGCTAAGTTCAAACAAAATTCCTAGGGTGATACTGCTTTGACTGTGACAGCAGCCACCTGAGTCATGTGACGAGCACTTTGCTTTAGAAATCTCAGCGTGTCACTCCAGCAAATGCTTGCACATCAGATCCATGACAAGCAAAAAGAAGGGGTGGGGGGGGAAAAAAGGGAAAATAAAAGCTTTTGTCCAAATGCTGTGAACCAAGTCCCCTATGCCTCTTTCCTTCCAGACATTGCTGAAAAAGCAGCTCACTGGAACCACAAAGAACAACAACAACCGAGCACTGTTCTAATACGGGACATCCTGCCGGACCAGCCTGAGCCAAAGGAAAAAAGCAAGCCACAAAAGTCAGAGCTCCAATTGGCCACTCAAACCCGAAGCCTTACATTTTGGGGCATTTTTTTCATTTAAACTAATCTAATCAATTGGTCACCATAGGAGAGGGCTCAAGCTGGCTTAGTTAGGTCCATCTGTGACAAACCTTGGAACCAAAGCCATGTGTTCAAACACACACACAGTTGAAAATGCGAACAAAAGACCAACTATTGTGTCTTAAAATATCTGCAGTTGACTTTTTGCATCACCACTCATAAGCCTCATAGTACACAGAACAGTCCTAATGCTGTTCATGGAGCTTCCAATCAATTCCCTAGAAATACAGTTCATACTTTAGTAAGTCCCAGGGATGGATTTCCTCTCATGCTAACTTACAAACCGTGGGTGAAGGTTTATCAAGGGTCACTGCCTTGTGCTGATGACCCTGTCCTGGGAATGGCTTCAGATTAGAGGGCACAAGAAATAATATGAAACGATTATCAAGAAAAGGAAGGCTATAAAACAAGATAGGAACCCGGGAAGAGTGCATTTTTACCAGGAAGCAGTAAATGACTGGAAAACTGGATGTTAAAACCAAACACAACACAACCCTAATTAACCATTAAAAGAATTCGTTAGGAGCAGAAGCTGGAACAGAAGATTAGTGGCAAAGCTTACAAGTATGGTAATATCCAGTTACTATCTTTATCTACAAGGTGGTATCTACTTTGCTTCCTCTTCCTACCACCTATTGAATAAGATTCCATGGCTCTCCAAGCAGAGCATGGCAATGTGTGATGTACCCACTGCACCGGTCCCCTGCTGCCCACCAGCCTGGAAAGAACTGACTGGGAGGATGGAGCACAAATGAGCCCAGTCCCAGCACAGAGTCCAGCTTGGACCCAGGAGCTGGAAAATGCTCCTTGGCCCTGTTCAGCCTCTGGGATGTTTTCCAGAGATGAACCAGCTCCAGAGCCAAGGTCTGATAAAATGGAGCCTGGGTCTGGACCAGGCCTGTTTTCTGGATCCACAACCCCAAAACCCAACGGCCAAGACACCACAAATACAGCACTATGCTTGACAAGTTGGGTCACTGCAGGCACCATGTACCTGAGGCCCATGTTTGGGTCTATAGTATGTTCCAGTATGGTGAACTCTCCCTTTGATGACCTTAAACAGGACCTGTGTGTGCTCCCTTTTGCTAGCTCAGAGCTGTCTCCAGCTCTACTCTCGGCTACCACTGCCTTTTTTCATGTTTTGCAGCCTCACAGAGATAAACACAGAGAGAAAATGGCCAAGGGATGTTGAAGCTGCTGCAAGAACAAAACCAACCACTGACTTTCTTTTTATCTACTAAGGCAAAGGCTTAAATTCTCCTAAGAATAAACTGTTATTTATTGCAAAAGAAAGAAGAATTCCTAGCAACAACAACAAAAAAGATAAATGTCCTAAGAGAATATGATGGAACTGGGGTAAATTACTTTAAAATAAGAAATCCAGGGTGAAGGGGAAACTCCCCCAAAAGTGAACAAGTGCTTTTCACATTTTAAACAAGGGATGGGGTTTTTTTCCTCCCCTTTTTTCTTCCTTTCTTTCCAGCAGCTAGAAGTCCCATCTGGTTCCTGTTTCTATTCGTCTGATCTCCCAGAAACTTCTAAAAGCCATAAGCATCAGCCAAAAATTCCCCAGGCATGGACTCCTTTCCAAAATAGCCCACAAAACGGCATTTTTTAGGTGGGTTGGTTTGGAAGGAGCAGAGGGGGGGATGTTGATTTTTGTAACATTCCTAGGAATTTCTTGCATCTATTCTCCCCTCTAGAATTTCTCCTCTGTCTGAATCCCCCTTCCACTTCCCGCTGGCGCGCTGGCCAGCACAGGGATACCACTCCCATGCAGCAGGATTCGGCCTGCCTCATGGGAGCTCACAACAAGCTGCTAGAGGGCTTTTATCCCCAGGCAAGGCAAATGAACTTGCAGTTCCCTTGCAGATGAGCTCTCCTCTGTTGGGCTGGTGGCTGGTCCATCTGGAGGCTGCATAAAGGGGCATTCGACCCTGCTAAAGCATTGTCAAGACAGGAGTTTTGGAAATAGCGTCTTGGTATAGATAGGTAAGACAGACGAGACAAGGAGGCCTGGATCATCCCTACATGCTCCATGGCTTTAGGGACAGAGGGAAGGGCTTGAACATCCCTGCTCATGGCAGGAGGTTGGAACTGCATGGTCTTAAGGTTCTTTCCAACCCAAACTATTCTATGATTTCCAACAGTGGTGTGCGGCATCACCAGCTCTTATGGCTAAAGGGAATGATGGCTTTCCCTGTATAGGCACTGCTGGAAAAGGGTGAAGGCTGGTTGGGATGGGGACACTTGCCTGGTGTTCCTTTACAACAGTTTTGCTCCATAGACATTTGTATGATCAATATGAGTCCCTCTAAAAAGTAACCGCTGTGTCCAATTTCTGTACAGTTAGGATCTGATTCAAGCAAGCTTTAAGAAAGGTGGTTGCCTCTCACTGACTTTGGCAAGTACTTAAAAGCTTCTCTGGACTCTTCACACAGCCGAGACCAAACAAATGCCCAAACGCAGCCCCATTTAATTCATTACGGACACACCTCTTGGTTGCACCCATGTTCCATGTAAAGGTGCACAGACCTGTCGTGGAGACTCCATGCATCTTGGTCTTCTCTGCTTGTGAAGCCTCATAATCCTTCACTGGACAAAAAACCAAACGCAAAAGCACAATGTTTCAGACAGTGATTCAGAAACACAGGGACAGCAGGACAGCTCCAGCAATGGGAGATGGACTCTAAAGATCTACCCCCCGGCACAAGAAGCAGTGCAGGTCACTGCTGACTAAAGGCTGCTACTTTTAGACATTTGAATTAATGAGATTAATTTAATCTCACAAAAGAACCCAGCTGCCTGGCTGGACCCATCAGCATTTGTAGTAAAGCAACAGAATGATCTAAAAGGTCACAGCCTTATCTCCACACCCTGCACTCCCTTGTGCTATTTGCCCTGCTTAAGAAAGAGGCACAAGAGAGAGCTCCGAGCAGGCTCCGAGGCTCGGTGGCACAGCTCCATGACACAACGCGATGCCGTGCAGAGGTCAGCACGTCAGCTCCAGGAAGCAGCCCAGAAAGAGCACAGCCACGGCAGCGTGGGGACAGCATCCGAGCTGCCCTGCCTTCCTCAGCAGGGCACTTCAGCACCAGCTCAGGTGCGTGCGTACCTTGCACCAGCTCAGCAGATGTTCTCTGGTGTGGCTTGCTTTGCTGGCGCGCTCTGTATGGAGTCTAAAGGCTGAACAGACCACAGAGACCAAAACCAGTGCTTGGGTAAAGCCTGCCCAGCCAATTTCAAAGCACACTGGGCAGGGTCAATGGGCAGAGACTTTCTTTTCTGCTGTCAAATGCATCTACTCCATAAACCTTCAGGTCCTTTTAGTATCTAGTCCACTTTAAGAAGATACCAGTGGGGTTCTTTGTCCTCCTGGCACTGTGGCATGTCAGAGATCACTAGACATTCCTGACATCCCCTTGCAACACAAAGAGGTGAGTTTGACCCAGCAAGGTGCTTGTACCAAAGACCAAGTGGCATTTCGAGACAATGCACAGCCTGAGGTGCCACCAGGAACATCTCTCAAAGCCTCACCACAATTAAATACTCCATCAATAAAGAGTAAACACACTTCATTTTCTGTTGTAAAAGAATCTCTCCCTCCCCTCAATGTTTTATTTTAGAAAGTGTACTCAACCATGTTCCCAATCTGCACTTCATTTCCTGCTATTCAGTTTTCTGTGGTTCATAGACAAAAATACCTGGGGAAAAATAAAAGCACAATACCAGATCCCCTGGGGCTCTCAATTTACCACAGGAGACAAGTGTGGCGTGCGGTGCAACAGGAGCCTGCTGCCCAGGCTGGGAGCAGGAGGCACCACGGATGGGACAGAGCACATCAAGCTCAGAGGCAGTGGTGCCATGAGCTTCTCATGTCCTCTCCCAGCCAAGACAGTGGAGGGTAAACGTGTCTTCCTCATCTGCCATTGATCCCTGCACAAGAGTGAAGAATGCAAGGGGGTATTTCTGGGCAGGGTAATCCTCCAGCTCCAGAGAAAGAGCAACAAAGGGCTTTGGTCCTGGCTCCTGCCAGACCAGGACCTTTCATCATCATAGAGACAAAACAGAGAAATGCATTTCTGCTGCCATTTCCACCCATGAGGATCCCAGAGTGCTTGGTCTTCTGCAGCTGTGGTTAGTGTAACACATGAGAGCAGGCAGAACCTGGCAGCAGATCCCAACAGGACTGACAGACTGAGGCGTACAGGGTGTCCCCAGGGCTGCAGGCAGAAGGTGGCCATTCTCCTTGGAGCTGGGTATGAGGCTGAGGTTCGGGAGAAAGATGGAAAGGGGGTTTTATGTTCTTGGAGCACACTCTTCTTACCCTGCAGATGCTTCTGGTGCTGCTCCCTGCCAGAGGGAAAACACAGGACCAGAAAATAACCCTCCCAAAGAGAGCCAACAGCTCCACCTCTACCACCGCAGCAGGTCAGGGCAGCCAAGGATGAGCAGATGAGGCTGGAGTTGGAGCTGCAGCTGCCCCAGCAGGCAGGGTCCCACCATCACAGCAATGATGGAAACCGCACAGGGAGCTCACTGACACATTTACCATCTCCTTTCACCCCAAGTGAGGTGAAACAAGACACTCAAGAGGTGATCCAGCATTAGAACATCAAAGCCTTGTCTGTGCTCCAGCTTCCCATGCTATCCCCAGGGGAGACCTGCAGCTCCAGGGTTTGCTGGGGCTGATGTAGCAAAGGGGAAGGAGGGGATGGAGCCAGGCCATAGGACACGGAGATAGGAAACAAGAAAAAGGAAGGACTGGGGGAAAGAGGAGGCTTGGGGCTAACTACAAGTGTTAGGGAAGAGAGAAGAGTTTGTAAGCCCAGAGATGGGAAGGCTGAGAGGGAGAGCCAAGGATAAATTGTTTTGATGAGTGCTCCAACCCTGAAATAAATATAACCACCCAAGGGGGCTGTGTGACTCAGTCTGACATTTTGGCTATTTTTTTTCATGCCACCAGATGTAATCAATTTAGCTGGGGGGCGAGCACACACATTTTCATTGCATTCTGATGTCCGCAAAAAGGAGTACGTGTTTTGTTTGGGTTTTTGTTCCCTAATCACAGCATTCTGTGCAAAACCGAGCACGAGCAGAACTCCCACCTGCCCTTCACCACCAAAGAAACAGGAGGTTAGGGCACTGGGGCAGAGCAGTCTGTCCCAGGTCAGCCCCCTCATCTCCATTGCAGCAGGGAGCAAAGCTCCCAACTGAAGCTCAGCGTAGGGAATAGCTGAGCAGCTCTGCTCACACTCTCTTCAGTACACACGAGGGAACAAATATGGCCAATAACATACTAAGATATTGTCGTGCTGAAATTCTTTGTTTACCAAGAAACGACATGTTGAAAGCCCTTGGCATTTATGAAGCAGATGATTTCTATTCACTTATTTGAAGCATTTTACAGTACTTACCCAGACACTTGGAGCGATTATCTTGCCAGATCTCATGTGGAGGACTGGGTCAGATGGACGAGCTCCAGAAAAGCCTCCTGGCATCCCAGAGGAAGTGGTGAGGTACCCAGGTAGCTGGTGCTCACCCCTCCAGGACCAAGGGAGGGACCCATTGCTTTCAGTTGCAGTTTCAACTGGGCACACACAAACCTCCAACTCGTCCAAACCTGGGGGGAAGTGTTTCTGTGCACTGTTAACCAGCTCCTGCATTCCACCCAGAGGCTGATGCTGTTCTGTGGTAGGTGAATAATTCCTGTATTTACTGTCTGCAAAATATTTTGGACTCTGGAGAGTTCTTGCTCGGGGAGACTCTTCCTGAATTAATACCAGCTTTGCCTGAGCAGCAGCTATGAAATGACAAGAGTGCGCTCCAGAAATCTGGAATTTTTAATTCACCCTGGTGATGGGCTCTGCAGGAAAAAGTGCTGGTGGGAAATTGGAGAATCCCAGACTGGTTTGGGTTGGAAGGGACCTTAAAGCTCATCCAGCTCCAAATGGGCAGGGACACCTTCCACCAGAGCAGGTTGCAAATATTCATTCACCCTTTCTGCTGTACAGCCATCCACCTCTAGCCTACATACCTTTAGAGGAGCCATAGAATTTAGCTCAGCATGGGACCTAGGACCACCCATCCAAAAACTAAGTGAAACTCTTCACTGAACTGGCTATTAAGTCTCCATCCAATGACTAACATAACGTCCATTACGTCTAACACCTAAGCCATCATCAGCCCTGCATTTCATTTTAAAATCTGCAAGGACGTGGCATTCCTCAAGAGTCACTTCCACCATAGCTGGATCTTGGATGCCTTCTCCTTGCATGGCAATGGCATGGAAAAGAAGCCCCCGTTAAACCTTCCCTTGTAGGGCCCCCCTTTTGTCAGCTCTCTTTTAATTAGCCCCACTTGTTTCCTAGGAGGCCCTCTGCTGAAGGTTGAGAACAGAGAAGTTCTGTGAGGGAGCTCAGTTTGAAAGGTGATCTATAGCATCTCTTCATTTTCAATACTGAGCACATAGTTTTTCCTCTCTTGAACACATCCCCAGAATCTTAAACTCTACTTCAAAAATCAAATACACTGCATTTATTTAAAGTGCCACTGCTGCTCTTATCTGTCATGTTAATTATAAAGATTCCCCCCCCTCCTTTAAGTAGGAGTTGTTTGAAATATATATAAAAGATTCTATAGCATGACTTTCTTATCACCTATTCTAATGTTTCAAATCAAGTCATCCACTGTGATGTATTCTGGGCACTTGGCAAATCAGCCACATTGAATGCATTGTGCTTTCAGGGAACTATTTCATGTTCACTGCAGAGACCTCCCCAGTTCTGTACATGTATGTGCTGGCCTGAAAATACCAGATTGATACCTGCTTGTGGTGACCATGTATTAACTTTGCGATGCCATTAACTCTTGAACTGGAGCTTGCTAACTTTTGAAGATGTAATTAGTTAAGCTTAGTATTTAGTTATCCTATTTTCTAAGGAAAAGGTGGCTGTCTAAGGAAAACAATCTTTAAGTTTGAAAATACAGGGCAAAAACACGTATTAAAACACAAGACTCCCACAAATAACAAATCCAGCCCTGGAACTGCTGTTACAGAATCACCTTGAATGAAGTCCCCCATTCCCAGAAGTAAGTTTTAGTCCCTCAGACCTAAACAGATCTTTCGGTATTCCAGCTGTTCTTAAAAAAGGATCCAACACCAACAACCAAAAACATCTGACCAGAGATACCTTTAACTGAGTTAACACTGGGTTTTAAAGCCTGGCATCCTCGACCCAGATAGGAAGAAAGGCAAGCGGCAAATCCAACACTGCACTAAGATACCCGTTTTAAATTTCCACAACTTTCTAACTGATAAAATGCTTTTCCTTAAGCTGAATAATTTTTCTACCCTCCTTGCTAAGGAGATGGAATTGAAGTAATGCTGAAAAAAAATAGTTGCTATATTAGACATTGGAAGGGGAGATTTTTGCCTTTATGTTTTTGAATCATCCTTCAAAAGCAGAGCAGATCAAAAACTTCTGATCAAAATAATTTTTTCTTTTTTATTTCAGTAGAAAATGTAGTTTTCACAAAATCTGAATGTTCCATGGAAAAACTTGAATTTTGCCAGAGCTGCCCAGTTTTCCACTGGGAGAGAGCTAAATAAAAGATTTCCTTTTAAGTTCCAGTTGACTGAAATGTAAACTTTTAAGTCACTTTTCCAAATAAATAAACAAGTAAATAAATCAGAATCCATCCTCTAAAGATTTTCTGCAGCCTGACACCTCCTCAGACATGAAAGATGGATGTTCACTGTGGGGCAGAGATTAGCAAGGAGCTCCACAAAGAGGACTCCAACCAGCATGGCCAATACCTTCAGCAAAAACGTGTCACTGGGCTAAGATGAAGCATGGAAAATTTCAGCCCAACAGAAATGAGCTTGAGAAAGATACAAGCACAAGTGGAGGAGGACAGGCAGGAATAGCAGTTGGAGCTCAACCTCTGTTCCAGCAGCTCTTGCCAATGACTGCAAGTGCTAATAAGGAACAGTCCCCCTGTGCATGCCACGTGAAGCCAAGGCGAGATAGACATTAATTTCTGCTGTTAAACAGCCCAGAAAAGATACTGGCTGTGATTGCGTTAGTGGCAACATCCGTTGGGATGCAATACATTAAGGGCAATGTCCTACTCTGCTGAGCCTCCATTTACCGATTACTGCAGGTTAGGCTTGGGAGTCTAGCAAGCATCAGAGCTGGTGTCAGATACAACCATAGAATCATGGACTGGTTTGTGTTGGAAGTGACCTTAAAGCTCATCCAGTTCCAACCCCCTGTCATGGGCAGGGACACCTTCCACTAAAGCAGGTTGCTCCAAGTCCCAACCAATCTGGCCTTGAACACTGCCAGGGATGGAGCATCATCCCATGCACATCTCCAGCACAGACTCAGGCTCTTCTGCCTGTCTTCCTTGAGCATGGGGGCATTGCAGCACTGCCATCACATCCAGATGACCAGCACGGAGGGAGCCTGGCTCTAATGGCACTGATTGCCAGTCCTTTTCCACCTCTCCTCTTGCCAGGGCTGATTCTGGCCGACCACGACTTCTGTTGCAGAAGATGTTGGTCCTATGGAAATAAATAGGTTTCGTGCAGCCTTTCCTCTTCACACCCAGCCTCTCCTTGCCCTCCTTGAGGAGCTGACACAGCTGGGGCCTGAGCACAACCAGAGGCAATGGCAACCTGAATGCTCTCCCAGCCTGAGCGCCCCACACAGTTTCTCCCCACACTCATCTCTGCGCTCCCTCTTCAGAGCAGGACAGCTGTCCCCAGAAGGCAGCTCTCAGGACAAGTTCCAAACAATCCAATATAAATGGAGTTTGCAAACCTATTTCTTCATAGTTTCTTCCTGCCCTGAAGCACCTTTTCCCTCTGCTCACCCTGCTGGGGCTCAGCAAAATGGGGGGTGTTTGCTTTTTCTCTGGAAAACAAAGCAAAACAAGGAAAAAAAGAAATCAGTGTTGCCAACTCTTGCAGTTTTAGTCCCACAGTATCTGATGATTTTCTTCACCCCCTCCCCAGTTTCTTGCTCCAATGTATTATGCAAAAATCTCAGATTTCCTTTTAAAAAGAGAAGAAAAAGGAGCCAGCTGTTCATAGGCCTCCAGGTTGTAGACAAAAGCTGAGAGACACAAGCCCCATGTACCCTAAAGCGCCCTCCAAACCAAACAAGGAAGCATGGGGGAGTCAAGATTTATCAGTAGTTTTTCTTGAAGGAGACAATTAAAAAGCCTCTCATTACCTGAAGGACCCCACTGATTCTGGAGCCCTTGACTTTCTTATTTTAAATCTAGAACCTGACTCATCCAACCTGAAAGTCTGCAGCTGCTGTTGATGTATGGAAGACGTTCAGCAGGTCAAGTCAGAACGCCCAGAATTCAGGGACTCACGGGCAATCCAGAACCTCCAGGGTCTTCAAAATCAGGCTAAAACCACCATGAGAACAGGCTCCCTTGGACCAGACACTGATATTCTGCAGCAGTGTGAAGGAATCAAAGCCATCCTAAAGCACCGGCCAGGACCTGCCCTGACACTTCCATGTCATCTGCTCCTTGGTCCTCTGGTGTAGGCCAGTCAGGGGTGGGCTGGTGGCTTTCAGGGCCCTCTGTAATCCAGCAAACCTTGGCTGGTAGAACCAGCCCCACGAGAGATTCCAGCTGGATTAAGTTAGAGCAGCCAAGGGGCTGTTCTAACCTAAACCACCTGCTGGATCAGTCCTGGGCCAGCGCGAGGATCTGGGAGGTATAAATGTGGCCAAAGGCCATCTTTGCTGCTCTCTTCCTCATCTGTCCCAATAGGAGCTGGAGGTTCAAACCCTAGTTAGAGATGTCTCTAGATAAGGCTTCAGAGGGACACCTCTGAGCTCCTGGTTACTTTGAAAATCCAAGAACTGGGATGCCACCATTTAGCCCCATCTTCCTTCCTTACCTTCTCTCACTCATCACAGTGCCTGCAATCACACTATAGAAGCCAAAACATGAGGAAATGTGCAAGGACAGGTTATTTCCTGGAATGGCTGATGCTTTCTGCCCTTTTTGACTTCCCAGGGAGCCTCTCCTCTGTGCCCCAGTGTCTCCAACTCCTATAGGGAACCAAGACCTGACAAAGGAATTTTTCTCCTCTCATTTTAAAGCACAGAAAATGAGAGAGTAAATTAAAAACAAGCAAGCAAAACTTCACCCAAACATTTCTAGAGCTGCTTGATTCTGGTTTGAGCTTTGGCCATAAGATCCCAAGCAATTTAAACAGCCCCGATTCACCCATATACAGAGACACACATTATCAAGGTAATTCCTACCATTGCACATGATTATGTGGCTGAATTGTCCTCCCCCTGCCCTTCCTCCTTGCCTTTTGCCCTGCAGCTAGCAAAGATAATGAGTAACAGTGATATTAAACAGGGATTTGAGGGTTTCTTACCGTTTTTTTTCCCCCAGCAAGTGGATAACACACTACAGTAGATAGAAAAATCCATCCAACTTTATTTAACTGTAACATTTATTAAGAGCAGTGAAAAGGTCAGCACAGAGCTACCAGCGTACGGGCTAAACTCCTTTCCCAGCCTTGAATGCGACAAGAAAGCAGATCCTTTAAGATGCAACTATCTTAAGCTCCCCTCCGATGGTTAAACTCTTAGTAATTCTAGGTTTTGGAGACAAACGTCAAAGCAGAGGGCTCTTCCCTTCATTATTCAAGTAAAGGCCCCATCAATATTATCTGTAATAAGAATCTGCTGTTGACATGGCTCACCCCGCAGTTCCTGTTCCAGGCAGTAGTCCCTGTCAATAGGATTAAAGTGGAGGAATGCCTTTGACAAGTCCACCGCCTGCTGATTCATTGCTGCCATCAGGCTGCCGGCTGGGAAAGTCACCGGGCACCATCAGCCGGTCCTGCCACTGCCAGTGGGGCAAGTGGACCTTGAGCTTTGGTTGCTGGTGCTGGAGGGGCCCTCCCTGGAGCTGCAGGAGGAAACGAGCAGAGGGGAAGTGCGAGAGTGGTTTGCATCACTCATGTCCTACCATGCTGCTTTTGGATGAATAACAGGCACATCAGCTGATGGGAAGTTTTGGGGTGACTTGATGAGCGATGCTAAACCGCATGGCACAGGGAAGTCACCCACCGTGCATGGGATGGTGGGAAGTGTTCCTCGGCCTCTAACACCATCACCTCTGCATCAGCCTGGGAGACCACATCGCACCCTGAGATGAAACAGGAACTCGGTGCCCTTGCACTGGAGCCATCCTCAGTGCCAATCAGCTAAGCCAAGAGCAACGACACCCTAACTGTACAGCAATGGCAGCCGCCAGACCCCCAACACGACAGCACCGGGAGCTGACAGCGAAAAGCACAAGCAGATGACGCCAACATGACTTTGTCCTGGAGCTGGCCATGCTTGGATGAATGCAGTCATGAGGATGTAGGGATGTGCTCGAGGGACCAGGAGCTACAGCATGGTCAGAATGAAACAGTGCAGGTAAAAGCTCTGAGCACCAGGTCGCCTGTGAACAGTTGGGCACATCCAGTCCTCCACGACACTGGCTCACACTTTTCTTTTCCATTGCCTCTTTGCAGTGCTCAGTACAAAGGCTCTGTCATTAACCACCAGCTTGCAAAGGCCCTGGGGTCGCTTGACTCCAGTCTGTCCACTGAGAATGAAGGAGTCCAAGGAGGGACAGTGCAGCCCCACAGCACTGCCTTCAGCCCCTTTAGAGCCCGCTGGGTCTGATGCTGGCTAAAAACCAGTGCTGAACCACAGCTGTAAGGGAAAAAAGTCATGTGTCAGGGAAAACCCGAGTCTCCTAACCTCTGCCTCTCACCTCTTCAAGTGGAGCACACGGGACACATGTACACACACATACACATTAACACCCTCATCTTTTCCAGTGACTAAGCCCCTGTCTAATTCATTCTGTTCCTGTCCCCTCAGGTGCTGAGGCCGGGTCAGGAAGCAGGCAGCCTAGAGTAAATAGATTAGCTCTTTTTTAAAATAAAACCCCTATTATTATCCTTTGGACAAAAAATAACAACCCTCATTTTCAGGAATTGTTACTTTTAATTAGGCTGCAGGTTCCACTGGGCTCTGCAGACGGAGCCAAGAAAGCAGGAATGTCAAAATATACAGCATGCAGGATGGAAAGCGCTGGGCTGGTGAAAGGGAGCCCTGTCAGCCCGCCTGTCAGCTG